GCAGCATCCCAATCGACGACGCAGAGAGGCCTCGTAATGAATTCCACCGGCTTTGTTCTGCCCACTCAACCCCTTTACCTCCAAGAGGCTTGAAATAAAATAGTAAGATTCAAATCATTATAATGCATTCTCTAAAGAAACAAGACCTCCGATGACACTCTATTTAATACTGTACAGGGGTTGCCATGACAAAGGCAACAGTGAAATACTGGCCATGTCATGTCATTCTTGGAAGTTCATTAATATTCATATTGCTCACCTAGTGTTTTGCACGTGTAGCCCATGCATGTGGCCACATATGAAGCCTGTTTAACATGATGTTCGAGTACATTTGTCTGTAACCCTTTACAAAACAATCTGCTTGTTGAACAAGACCAATGAATTGGTCTATATTTTAGAGTTGGATTTTTACTTTAAAATGGAACCAATTACAATTTTTGGGTGTGGCCTTTACTGAGTGACTGACCAACTGTACACCAACGTAAATTTTAAACTGAACTAATATAGGTTCCCAAGGCAACAGGTCGTTTTGAGGATGCATGCAAAACTATGTAAAATTTCGCCCATAAATGTCCACCAAACCCAGTGCATCTGCAGGATATTCTTTCAAGTTTAACTATTTTGGTTACATTGTCTAAAAATGTGCTTGGACCCAATAACATTGTAAATACTGAATCTAGCTTTGGCCGAAGAAATCCCTGGTGAATATGTGGTTATAAAGGAAAAAGTGCTTACCCGTCCCGAGTCCCTCATATCTCACAAAACCATAACAATTATGTTTATTCAGTGAGTTTTAAAGGGCTTCAGCTTTTTCAAACCTCTAAATTCCACCCATAAATATCCACCAAAACAACTGTAACCACAAGATATTCTTTCCAGTTTGATTATTTTGCTCATGTTTTTTTTTTACAAACGTGCTTGGACGTGATAACATTGTAAATACTGAATCTAGCTTTTGCGGAACAAATTCCTGGTGAATATCTAAATAAAAGTGCTTACCTGAGTTTCTTAAAAATCCTATGTATTATAATTATAGCCTATTATGTTTGTTCATTAGGTTTCTTAGGCCCGGGTTCATAGACAGGGCTTAGCCTTAACCAGGATTAGGCCATAGTTCAATTAGGACATTTAAGTAATTTCTGTCAGGACCACTATCGTCAAAGATGATTGACAATTAGCATACAGTTTGGATTGGCGGTATGGTTCTGTTCTGGGCAAGAACTCCCTGCGCATCCATGCAGCCTAGCGTGGATGAGAGCAGGGAGAGCAGCAATAACCCCCCCCAGGGTAAACAGAACAGAACCAACATAAATGTATTGCAGATATTGTTAAAGTTCAATAATGTTATGTACACATTTTAGAATTAGTCTGATTCAAAGGAGAATCACAAGGCTGAATCCTGACTGACAGAGGAGGAGTTGGGTATGGAGGAGGGTAATTAGCTATTGAGCAATGAGAAAACTGCTGATAATACTGAGGGACCTTATATATGAATGCTTAGATATAGGTATTCCCATAGGTTGATGGGGATCAGCTGAGAGTCAGCTGGTGCGAGCTTGACTAACGTGACCTGCCAGAACTAACGCTACGCTTGATTTTTATAAACATGCCTTAGAAAAAAGCATCACTGATGTGCATCTTAACAAAGGCACTGACATGTTTTAAGATCAGTCAGTGCAAGTTTCTTTCAGTTGAAACAGCTAACAGCTACATTTTTAAGATCAGTCAGTGCAAGTTTCTTTCAGTTGAAACAGCTCAGATTTACATTTTAGTTCTTTGTAGCCAAAAATGTCTTTCGCGGAAACTAGCACAGTTTGCTAACCCTAGACGTTTTAAATACAACACTGGTAGTTTTTGCTATATTTTTTAAATGTTGTTTACATCTATAATAACTTATTACTGTAGGCCCTAGTATATCGATTTTTTTTTTGCTGTCCCAGACAGTGATGTCCACACTTTGACAAGCTTGCAATCTAACTTTTATACTTATTTAGTGGTGTAAAGACGCTACTGTATGTAAAAAGAATACATTCTTTTATATAACATTTATATAACATACCTCCATTTTAAAATAACCAATCCCGCGTTATTATTTGTGAATTAATTCCTCTCTGATATATATATATATATATATATATATATATATATATACATATATAGGCTACATATATATATATAAACATAACTTTGATATAAATGCTCTAACATTAAGCCGTAACCAAATGTCGGACATCATTTTACCCCTCCTGAAAGTTAATAAACAAAACCATTAGTGACCATGCCAAACTTTTCCTCAGCACTGACAGTGTTGAAAGCAGCAATGAAACTCTCATCACTTACCTCCCTCGGTGTTGACAGACGCCCTCTGAACTTCCCGGCTGACCCTCTGAACTGCATTTTTAATGACCCGAGTCTGGCTCTCGGTCAGGTCCCGGTTCGCTCTGCCGTCATCGGACTCTTCGGGCTTCACGGTCACAATGTTTCTCCTGGAGAGCTTGGAAGAGAACGCGCCCATGTGGAAAAGCAAATCCCCGAGTTTATCAACAACATGGGAGATGGAGTCGGGATGACGACAATTGCCCAAAGAGTTTCCCTGTGTTTTCGAGACAAGTCATCAAGTCATCTTAGTTCACCCATAATATCCTAATGTAGGCAGTCCAGTTAAAAGCTCCATCGGCAGACGTGCGGGACCCTTAAAGTGTCATGTCTATTACAAACACAGAGGGCGCTATAACCCTTCCTATTCTGACCAGTGGAGACGTTTCATAAAAATAAACGATACAATCAAACAATATATTGAGCAGATTTGTTCAGAGCATCACGAAAGTGGTTTGTCTCTTTATCATTTTTTTTAAACATTTCAAACATATGTTACTTTCGCTACTTTATGAATCAAATACAAATATTTTTAAATTCAATATTGTTAGCAAATTTCACTCAATATGGTATGGAAAATAAGGTACATGAGATAATGTTGTTTATGGGGCCAGTTGATGTTTGTAGACTGAACAAATTAAATTTGGTCTAGATAAAAGCATTGTCAAACACATAGTTTATACAAAAACATAAAGACATGAAAAGTATTTTTGTATAGATGTACACATTTTATTCAATACAATCCATTCCACACATCCATACGTTAAAATCAAGGCTCAGTCTACACCACAAAATTAATCCCAGAAGTTCTAAAAGTGAAATAAACTTTCATGTCAAACATCCTCACAAGCATTGATGACAATTTTCTACCTTCAGAAAAACACTTCACAACAGTGAAAAACAGGATTAAACAAGAATCTTAAGATTAAAAAAAAAATTCTATATTACTATGCAATATGGATAAAAACATCAAAATATGTAATTAAAATGACAAAATTACAACAGAAACTGAACTAAGATTTGATGTACCAGGAATACTTATTCAACTAGTCCCTCTCTTTTGGCTGATATTTAAGCTACTATATTGCACAAATATAGCTTAAAGGGGTCATATGATGCGATTTCAAGTTTTCCTTTCTCTTTGGAGTGTTACAAGCTGATTGTGCATAGATAAGATCCCTGAAGTTGCAAAGACTAAAGTCTCAAAACCAAAGAGATATACTTTATCAAAGTTAAGACTCTGCCACGCCCCCCTAAAACGGCTCGTTCTAACACGCCCCCACATGTCTACCTCACTATGTGGAAATATTTGCATAATGCTGCCCAAATGTGCACGCAAAGAAAGAAGGCGTGGTTTCAGTAACCGCAGTTAGTGTTGAAGCAGCCATGTCAGGGAGATGCTGTGTGTTTCTAGGCGAAAGCAAAAGCACTTTATTTGATCTTTAAAAAAGCATCATATGACCCCTTTAACATCCCAGATGCTAATCAAGGACGTCAAGTGAGGACAAAATGAGTTAGTGTTGCTATCAAAGTTACTGAATATAAGAAACCAGTCTTTATTCAAAAAAAATAAAAAATACTGAATTGGATCAATTTTTTCTACCAGGGCTGTGTTTCCCAAAAGCATTGTAAGCCTAAATTGATCGTAGAACCATTGTCACCAATGGAGCTAGGATAAACTTAAAGGGATAGTTCACCCAAAAGTGAAAATTCTGTCATCATTGACAGAATTTTCATTTTTGGGGGAACTATCCCTTTACGTTTACAATGCTTTTGGGAAATGCAGCCCAGAGCAATGAATATGCTAAATGTGAGTTTTGACCACAAGATGTCACTATCTTGAAAGATGATAAACACCTGATGAACTTAATAGAATGGGAAAATAATCGCATCTTAAAGGATACACTTTGTTAAGCTAATTTATTATGAAATGAAGCTACTAAAAAGAATGACTTTTTGAGTGTGAACTCCTGAAATTAAATTGAAGTAGCACACAGGATGAGAATTGTAATTCAACTGAAGGAATTACAAATAAAATGGAAACGGCTAGGAATAGGAATTCATTCATCTTATCTGTGATTGTGGTGAATTTCTTTGTACTGCATTTCATTAAATTCCTCTTCCTGTCATTTCAAATTCCAGTTCAACATCCTGTGGAGCCAGTTCAATTCAAATTCCAGCTGATAGGCAGACATTTTTCTTTCTGTCATTTTAGCACCTATAAGACAATTCCAAAGTGTTAAATCAAAGTCATATATGAAACTACGATGGAAGCACTGGTGGCTTTAAAAGGGCAGTTCACCAAAAAAAAAAAATGCTGTCTTTATTTACTCACCCTCATATAATTCCAAACCCATATTACTTTTTTTGAGTGATTTCTTAGTGTGAGGAATAGACTGCCTCAAACCTTCCTCAAAAATCTTACTTGACAGCCATGGTCCCCATTCGCTTTCACTGTAAGGAAAAGAGCAGCTTGGACATTCTCTATAAATATCACCATTTGTGTTCAACGGAAGAAGAAAAAACAGCTTTAAAAGATATTAGGTGGGGAAATGATGACAGAATTTTAATTTTGGGGTGAACTATCTCTTTGACATTGCGTGGATGCAGCTGTAGAATAATGTTCAATCATGACCCAAACCGTTTGCTTGTGTAGCATCCTGTGGTCTGAAGTTTTTCAGCTGTTCCATGAAACCTGGATTTGGACATGAGGCGGGTCGAGCTGACTTCACCAGCGCAAATGTGTCTCCAAAAAGCTGATTTTCCTTCAACATCAGATATCCAATGACGACCGAAACAGAACGTGAAACTCCAGAATTGCAGTGGACAAGTACAACTCCCTTCTGGAAAGAGAAACCACTTGTTCAGTCAGACAGCAGGAAAATAAATTGTTTCCAGAAGCTACTGGAATCCCTCAATGGAGGCATTTAATTTCACATCATTACATACTCCATTATAAAGCATGTAATGAATCCTATGCTAATTGGAAGGAATTACAAAATTGCAAGTTACGGGTGAGAGAACCACTTTCCGCCGAGTTGAGAAGAACATTATTTGATTAACTGAGCTGTTGTTTCCCTTTGCATCATAGATGACAATTAGGTGACAGGAGGCGCTACACTCGTTTTACAAAGGAATGGAAACTTATTTCCAGCAGCCATTGTAATCATAAACCTTAGTGAATTTGAATCATGAGGCATAAGGTTAGGTTAAGGGTGACTGGCGACACTATTTAGTAAAGAGGTTGTATGACAAACAATGGCCCGTTAGTGATATGATCTTTCTACAACTCGATAAATAATGCATTGTGAAAACTCAGCATCCATTATTCAGCACGCCACACAGTTACCTAGAATAACGGAGTTAGCCATTGGATGACCGTGCAGTATCACATAGGCCAGGCACTAAAGCCCAACACTCGGGAAATTACACTGAGAGAATGAAATATTCCTTTTATACACTCTTAAATATAAAGGTTCTTTATTGGCATTAATGGTCCTATGAAGAACCTTGAACATCCATGGAAACTTTCAAATGCAGAATAGGTTCTTTATAGTCGAAAAACGTTCTTTAGATTTGTTAAATGTTCTTCAAAATGGTTCTTTTAGGAACTGTTTACTGAAAGATTCCAAAAATGGTCATTTTATGGCATCACTACAAAAACATCCTTTTTGGAACCTTTATTTTTAAGAGTGTAATGCTGCCAGACCTCCATACGCTGGTGTTACGATATGCAAAATGCAAGATTTTTGCAAAAACATTCTTGGAAATCACATGATATTAACCAAATGTAATGATGAATATGCCATGAAACAAAAGGAAAATGTTACCTCAGCTTTAGCCTGCTCTATAAATTGTGCACACTCCTCGATATGTGATATGATATCAGTGTCAGGTAGATCCAGTATGCTCAGTGTTTTATAGATGAACAGGTCAGGAAAGGCATTTTCCACACCATATGCAACATTTAATATATGTGTGACCTGAAATCAATGGAAACACATTATAAGTCTTAAAACAAAGTTATTTAATAATAAAATACAATAATAATAAACTCACATTACCTTATATTTCCTCAAAGTACCAAAGTCATGAGCGGCATCTTGTGACCCTTTGAAATAAACATAATCAAAATTAATTATTTTCAGAATAGAATAGAATATACTTTATTTTTGTCTTAGACTCAGCCAGCAATCATTCACAAATAACATACCACACAATTAAAAAACAACAGCAATAATAATAATAATAATAATAGTAATATTAAAAATAATAATTAAAAGCGTACTGCATACAGAAGTCTTTAAAAATGCAAATGTATTATAAGAACATATAAAAATGTATATAGAATAATTTATAATACAACAAAAAATTATACAAAATTATTTGTAAAATATAATTCTATAATTATATACATAACATTTATTAAACATTTAATAAAGATTAAAATGTCTATTCCAAATGAGCAAACAGCCCATTATGAGTTCATTACATTTTGATGTTTTAAGTGTAGTTTTTTTTTTTTTTTTTTTTTTTTTTTTAAGTGCCAAATTTATGCTTTTGTCTTTTTTTGTTTTAGTTTTTTTTTTTTTTTTTACTTTTTAAGTGCCAAATGAGAATATGAACTACTCACCAAGTAATAGATATGGTTTAATATATCCAACTTGAAGATCCCAGTTATTATCCTGAACATATCCACATGCAGTTTCCGGCTGTACTGTTTCCTCAACCACCTGTACAGTGGAACCTTTCCATGTTTCAATAATCCGCCTGCCGCTCAAAGTCGTTACTCTGGTGCATTGTTTCCGTAAATTAGCTTTGGAGAAGGATTTTATTTCTTGTGCGAGCGACTGCATCACATTTGCGGTGGAGATGTCCAAGGCAGAAATGTAAAGGCTCCGAAATTGGGTTTGTGCTGTGAGACGGTTTGTTGCTCCCTCACTTGTAATGCCCGTCTACATTTCTGTGACCTCGATACTACCTGAAAAGTGAGAAGATTCATTAGCGCACCTCAGCATAATTACCTGGGGTAGATTAAAACAATAGTGACACCCAAAGGAGAGAAATGTAACTGCATATGCGAACCTGTTTCAAATCATATTGTTGTGGGTGCAATCGGTTGACGCTCTTCTTGCCAAACCAAATTCAGTAGTTTTTGGTGGAGCACTGCAGTTAGCTAACAATTTGGAGAAATACAAAATAAAAAAAATAAAAAAATGTTTTTTGCAATATATTTGTGAAAATTCTAATAGAGTGATGAATAACAACAACATTACTTATGTTTAGTCATTAAAGGGCGGGTACAATGCTGTTTCATGCATTCAGAGTTGTTTACACTGTTAAAGAGTTGGATTCTCATGCTAAGCATGGACAAAGTTTCAAAAAACAATTTGGACTTAGGACAGAGTATTTCTGTGCCAAAAATCTTACTTCCGGGTTCGTACAAGTATCGGAGAGTTCCCTTTCGATACTACACTTGTACTGCGTCTTGCTTAAAGGCAGGGTAAGCAATTTCTGGTAGCCAATGTTGATATTTGAAATCACCAAAACAAACATGCCCCTACCCCAAAAGGGTCTTGCCCCTATTTTGATAGCTCCGCCCCACATATACGTACGCAACCCAGGCAACGATTAGTTCTGTGAAACAAAGCAAAACCAATGTTACACCGTGTCTACATCGGACGTGAGCGGCGCGGCGCAACAAATCCCCGACAGAAAACTGCTGCCGGGTTCTATTTATGACGTGCTGACACAAATTTCAAATGGTTTTCAATGGTCGTTTGATCGCGTCCAGTGTAGGCAGACTTTAGCTGTTGTAGACACGGTGTTACTCACCTATTGAGAAGAAACAAAGCAACCTCGGCATCCGATCGCAGGCCTCCGCTCCTTGAGTTCTCTCCAGCGCTGGAAAGCTGATCCGAT